TTTTCTACTTTTTCAACCTTGTGCTCAGAATGAATGAAAAACATGATTACACAAGAGGCGTCGAGGAAGGATTTGCAGTCATGATCAGTTAAAGTATGCAAAATGCAAGAAGGAGGCTAACAGAAGAAAAGCAGCCTCTCTCCACATCAGAGCGGCGACGTGTTACTACCTCTGCAGCCTCTTTTCGCAATGTCCTACAAGATTTCTTCAAATTTATCACAGAGGACTGGAAGAGTAATGGCAATGTAAGAAAACAAAGTCCACCGGGGACATGTACTGCATCATTCAGATTTAACACTGCCATCTGTTTCGTAATGCCCAGGAACGGCAAACATCAGTGGTTAGGACAACGCATTTACAGAGAAGACAGATGTGCTGGAGAGGCAGGGTCTTTACCTGTGGAAAAGTAGGCCTGGAATCAGATGCCTGATGAAAGAGACACACTTATCTAATATGTGTTGTGTTTGTCTCTCCTCGCCGGCGCTTCAGACAGATTTTCTTCTTCTTCTTCTTCTTGTTTTTGGCCAGTGAAGTTGAGGGAGACACAAAGCAGCGGATGCCTTCTGCTAATGAATGTCAAATCAAAAGCCGACCTATTTAGAAAGTCAAAGCGCTTTCGCACCTATGACAGGGCGATGTCTCGAGTGAGATCTATCCTCCCAGGGCACCGCAGCTCATGCTCATGTTCATGCGGCCAGCTGCACACGTCTGGCTTGGTGAAGCTGTGATTTGGGATCAATGATGATAAATGTAAAAATGTACAAGGTTATGGTTCTGAGGCAGAGGAGAGGTTTTCAGGTTAAAGTTTTTTATTTTATCTCACATCAACCAGCCAGTGACCAGAGCTTTAATGTTTCATCTGCGTGATGATACAGTTTTATATGGAGATACAGTATATATCAAGTATATCATCCCATTGTGATCAGGCAGTACAGCACTTAAAGATTTCTTGCTGTTAGCATTTGCCAATTTTAAAAAGTTACAACGAATCCTGTTTTAGCACCGTGGGGCGGGGGAGTTAACTTCATGTTTAATGCTAAAGAGCTAAATGCTAAGATAAATGATACAGCTGAATTGGTCCGTCACTTTAGCCTACAATTTCACAAACTTGACCTATATTAAACTATTAATTTCCTCCTCCAAGGAAGACATGTTTTCACTGTTTCACTTGTTTGTTTGTTTGTTTGTTTGTTTGTTTGTTTGTTTATCAGCAGGATTAGGCAAAATTTTACTGAACCGATTTACACCAAACTTGGTGGAGGGGTGGGGCGTGGGCCAAGGACGAACCCATTAGATTTTGGGGCAGCTCTGGATCATTTAGCATGAATTTGAATTTTTATCTGGTGTATGTTGTTTGACCTTGGTCTTGGCGGAGGTCTGCGCTCTCTGAGTGACCTTCTAGTTTTCACTAACATTTTTATATAAAATCCAAAAATTATATAAAAAACAACATTTTTTATATGATCTGCTCATGTTGCATTTGGAGGTCGATAATTTTGGTAATACTAATAAAATCTGAGCTAAGCAGCTGTTCTTCTAAATTGCCAAATAACATAATAAAACACCTTTTCTCACCAAGTATCCCTTCCGATTAGTACTTCACTTTACACTGAAAATCTTCACTGTATAGCTTCAATAAATAAAAGATGTTCAGTTCAAATCTTTAAATTCCATATATACAGCCTACAGAGATCTAGTCGATGTTGGACGTGCTGCAGGGCAGTTCGATTCTAACGAACCTTTGGCCACACGAAGTAGAATTTTACCAGAATCTCTGACCTTCAGGACGCGTCTTAAGACTCACCAGTCTCTGTAATTGAGAAGAGAAGGTAACTACAGAGAGAAGTTGTGTAGCAATATTGATAAAATGTCACCTCAGAAATTAGAGGTGCCTAACAGCTTTTGTTGCACTCTTCTCCTTTGTGCAGAGAGCGGGTCTGTACTGGCCGCTTTCAGCGCAGCAGACTGCTTTTATTGGTCCTTTCTAACTTTAGCAACAGAGAAGCGTAAAGGGTTAAGTGAGCTTTTTTTTACAGGAATCTTGGCTCCCAGTTTGTTTGTGAAATAAATGTATAGGAAGTAAATTGTGGGGGGAAATGCTGACAGCCTACAGCATGTAAGCAAGCCTCTGAGATGGTGTTAGCAGAGAGGTGTAGTGTCCTGATTTGTGTTGTCTGGATGTTTTTTATTGCTGAATATGACAGAGCTGTACAGGAGAGCCCAAAATAATCCAATGTTTCTCATACTTCACAATATGTCTGCAAGCACCTGTGAATTGTGGCAAATTGATTTTCTGACATTCATAAAAATTTATGTTTATTTCAAAGATGGAGTCTCTGGAATACCCCCCCCACCCCCCTCTGCATTTTAGCATAGTGTGAAATCTAATTATTTAGTATCCTGTCAGGTCTTGTCTCGGGGTACACAACATGACGAGCCAAAACATGCATTCAGTTGTCACATGTCTCTCTGTCTCCCTCTCTCTCTGTCTCTGTCGGCCAATGAGTGTTGTCAAGGATATTGCAGCGACTTGACATCCGTGGCAGATGCACAGTGGCACCTCAGCCACGAGGGCTGACTGGAAACCTCGCGCTCAGAGAAACAGCAGCTGGCCTAGCTTCTTGCAGGGAGACTACATTAGCACGAGGGGAGGTGGGGGGAGGGGGGGGAGCCTTGTTTGCTCCTGCTGGCTTGGCATTGTTTGCAGTTGAATTATGGACTGTGTAAAATTTATGCTAAGCCTGACTTAAGGCACGAGCCTCTTTAGGGAGCTGTCTCATGTCTCATTGAGCCGCTACAGTGCTCTTAAAATGATTCCTCCCACTGTCCTCAATTGGTCATGTTGTCTTGTTCATCCTCACCAAGAAAATGTTGCAGAAAACAATGAAGGAGCCAATCAGTTTGTCATGCGCTCGCTGTTGAGAGGCATTATCAGTGGTGGGGCAGACGCCACAGAAAGGATCAATTCTCTCAGATTACAAGGAAGCAGTTTTTTTCACTTACCTTGACTCGTCTTGAAAATGTTACAGTTGTGTTGCGCAGGTGTGAATGTTTGTGTTTCTGAGATTTTTTTTTTGCCTGCACCCCAATGTATTTATACACTTCATTTATGTGGGAAGTCACATTTAGATCAAGGTATTAACAGGAAAGATACTAAATTTTTGTGATCTAATTATACATTCAGATATGTGTTCATATAAATAAACAGACCTAAAAACAATGATCAGCGTGTATATTCAAATATATTTAAATATGCATATGCATTACACTATACACTGATACAGTGGAGTTGAATCCAGTTTTACTTGCGATGCTCAAAGCAATTACATTAAAAAAAAGTAAATAAAAAAGTCAAAGTAAAGTTTTGTGCAAGACACAATGTCCCAGTGTCTAATCCACCGAACACACTGTGAAAAGTTTGAGCTGGAGCTACTGTCTACTAAAGACAACTGTTGACAGCGTGTTGTTTGGATTATTCAGAATAACAGGAGAACTGTTTCTGGAAGGATGTGTTGCAGTTCTTTTGTTTTTTTATTTAAACAACTGAAATTCAGTTCACTTCTGTTGAATTTAGGTGAAGACGGATCCTTTAAGTTGAACAGCGCTTGTTTCGTCCTAATTTAGTTTGAATGAATAAAACTAAAGACAAATAAAGCAGGTTAGCCAGTATGCTAGCTGACACACAGCAGGAGTTTAGCTTTATCATTTTGCCAACTTTTAGCATTTAGCATAAAATTTATTTTTTAAGTTTGTCCATGGACTTTGGCAGGATTAAAGCTTATTTTCTACAAAATGAACACAAAACATTGAAGGGAATATGTGCTGTGTAATGACAGAATCATTAAGTCAAATAGCCTACTCCATCCTCATACAAACATATGATGGCACTTTATGAAAACTAATGGAGGAAACACAAAGAGCTACATCTTCACTGTGACCGTGAATTTATTAGAATATATAAAGAGGAAGGATTAATGAAAATTGTGAATCTGTGAAGATTAAAAATTACTTTTTCACGATGGTTCGGCTTCTTTTCATGTGGTAGATGAACTGCCCAGAGAAAAGCAGACTCAATAGCAGACTGAATTTGTAGAAATTGATTTCCTGGAGTGCTGCAAACTGCTGTAATCTGATATATGAGTGGAGTGTCTCAACCCTGACTCTTGGGCCTCGGTTTGGCTTTTGAAGATCGCACCACGAAAAGCTACTCCATTACAGTAACAAGAGCAAAATGTAATTCGTTACTCCCACACTGGTGTGTCATTACTGTCACCTTTTTGCCCTCAGCAGTCGGGCGGTGTTGATGTGGTGTGTTGGCACTTTGGATGGTGCCTTCAGCTCTCTAATCCGGAGAGCAGAGAGGTGCTGCTGTCGCTGACAGACTGACTGACAGGCAGGCGGAGAGGACCCAGCTGTGATGGCTGGTGTCGGCTCAGTGGCAGCCTTATGATGAATTGCCTCTCTTGAATGATAGCGCTGTTACTGGATGATACTGACGCAGGATTGTTCTGTCAGCATCTCACCGGCAACCGCAAATAAAGAAATAAATAAGTAAGCGAGAAATGAACCGCTATGCAACTCACCTCCCCATCTTTTTATTTTTCATTAAAGTTGCCACCTCTCATAGATCTCCATATGCACTGATATGGAACTGGAGGTTGGTGCAGAAAGGCGCTGGAGGAAATTGCCTTGTAGAACCACAAATGTGGCCGAACTTTTGAATGATTGAAAGCTGCCTCTTGTTTGTTTTTTGTTTTTTTTTTAACTTTTATATCCAACAGAGTATATCTGACAAAACACTTCCTGTGTGTTCTTCTTTGTTACCACTGTGTAAATGACTGCATATGTGATATGTGATAGCATTTGACTTTGTATATACAGAAAATAAGTCACTTTCCATTTATTTGTTGATAAGTGCAATTAGTTTGATACAGAATGTATTTTTTTCCCTTCTTTCATGTTTATTCTTATATTCATCTCGCTGTTCTGTTTGTTTACAGCTCAGATGACTACTATGAATACGGACACAGTGGGGAATCGTATGATTCATATGGTGAGTTGCAGACCTCTTCTCCTCCAATATATCTTCTGTCAGTTGTCAGAACAATATCAATTTATAGTCCCTGACTCTGCACTGCTGGCTTCATCTCTGTTGCCATAGCACCTGGGTAATTGAATGATGTCTTAGACACATTAGAGGGGAAAAAAAAGCATCTCAAAAGTCTATGATAATCAAATACTGCTTCAGTTCATCTGGCTAATTAGGTTGGAGTAGTGCCACCCAAACTCAAGAGCAATTAACAAACAACTCAGAGAAAGACACAGATAAGGCAACAGACCAGCAGAATACAATGATGTCTGCATTAATGCTCATCCTAAAAAACTATATCTCTTTATCTCTTTATCTCTTATTATCAGCTTTATCATGCTTAGTTAAATTTAGAGGATAATCCACAATCCAAGTCTTCCTTCCCCCAGCTGCCGCCACATTTAATACACCGGAGGAATGATAACAACTTCTTTTTTTATTCCAGGTGACTCCAGTTTGTTTGTCTGATTCTGATGCAATCAGCTCAACAGAACAGTTTTGTGTTTGAGGCCACTTTAAACAAAACTGGTCTTTAGTTTGGAAGATGTTCATCGTGTCTGAAAAGACGTGTCGATAGCTCCAGTTGCCACGGAGTTCAGACAAAGTTAACAGCACTAAGATAATGTTCAAAAGTCCTGTGTCAGCTTACTGTCAGATACAGTGAAAAGTGGGCCAAGGTCATTTCTGCCGCAGCACTCGAATGACAGAAGAGCTAATATACAGTACAGTACAGACCATGCCGCTGTGCAGCTGAAGGTTGATCTGTCACTACTAATGTAGGTGTAGCTCCTGTATGAACTGGATAATACTTGGCCAACCACTTGCATCCTTGATAACAACCTAGGTGATGACTGGTCAAATGCCAGAACTAGATATGTGTAGCCAGGAAGGCACACAGGCTGCACAGAAACAACCCCGACGTATTAGCTTCCTACTTGTTACTTTGACTATGATGTTGGTTAGTGGTTTCAGGCCCTGACAAAAAAAAAGCTGCAACAAAAATTTCTAGTAGCACAAAGCAAACTGAGTGAGAGTCATAACGACAGGGTCAGATTCAAAATGTGATATGTTGTATTTTAAAATATAGTGTGTGTGTGTGTGTGTGTGTGTGTGTGTGTGTGTGTATAGAACATTGTCAATAAACCTAAAACTAAAATAAATATGATACATGTGTTTGTGGCAGATATTTACACTGTGTTGTGGCCCATTTAATTCTCTAAAACAAACTATCCCGTCAAAGCTGTTGCAGATATCAGGACAGATTGTTGTAACTGAGACGGACTGAGAAAACCTTTGAGTTTTAATCCAGCTCTCAGACAGTCAGTGACCGAATGAATGCAAACAGAAAACATAGTCAGTTACATTTTAATTTCGGCAATGCATCATTTCCCTGTGTTAGAAACAACTGACTGTCTTCTGCATCATTAAACACCTATGTGTGTTCTTTTCATGCTGCAGAGATCTGAATGTGTTTTTAGAAGTTAAGTCGTAGGGAAATAAAAACTTTCCCAACTTTTCTGACCACACAAAGTGGAAGAGCTGAGCAACTTCAACTCATTAGGGGGGTGCGTGCACATAAAATACATTAAAAAAAACCCGCTGCCGCTCGGGTCACGCACAGAGAAGGCGACAGTTCAAACAAAACAGATAAACAGTGCTGATGTGCATCCTTGTTCAAGGTAACACAAGGTTACCTTGGTCTATTTCTTCAAAGTGACTGTCAGTGAAAGGGTGACAGGTTTAATTAAGGGGTATTGGCTGTGTGCTGCCAACAGAGAGCCTGTACCCAGAAAAAAACACAACCCTTTGTGAGCCTCAGCTCTAGGGAAGTCTCGGCGCTGGCTGAAGATCAGACAAAGGGTGCCATCGATACTGGCACTTTCACATTGACAGTACCAGGGGGTGAACGGGGGCTGATTTGGGCTAATGGTAATTGTGACCTTTTTGCTGGGAGCCACTAAACGGGTCCTTTTCAAGTAGCTATTTGATCCTCTCATTCAATTATCTGAGATGCATCTTTCCAGGTGAAAGTCAAGCGTCTTGGTGCGAGTCGCCGTTTGTATTCGCGGCTCGCAACGGCGCTTTTGTTATTACGAGCCACATCAATACCAGACATTCAAAGCGCTGGCAACTTACTGCTGCATTTATTTCATCGAAGGGAGCGCATTTACAACATTTGCATAGAGCTTGAGTATACTATAACACCTCTGTAATCCCTCACCATCTGCTTCTTCTCTTTTCTTCTTAATCAGGTCAGGAAGAGTGGGCAAACAATCGCGGCAAGGCACCGTCGGCACGAGCAGCCAAGGGAGTGTACAGAGAGCAGCCATACTCCAGATATTGAACTGTTTATACAACCCGCACCTGAGTCCTCATGGCTGTTTCAACCCAAGTAATGGATTTTTTATGGACGCTCCCACCTTTTTAGAATTGAAAACTAAACCACAAAAAATAATAATACTAATAATAATAATAATAATAATAATAATAATGATAATAATAATAATAAAACGAATGAAACGCCGATAGCAAGACGATGAATTAGTAAATACTGGTTTTCAAAAAAGAATAATCCCTGTGATCATAAAAAACATACTCCCAGTGGGTAAAATGTGTAGAGCAATTAAGGTAATCTATCTTTTTCCTCTTGGAGAAACTGGACGTTGAGGTTAAGAAAGACTCCATAGTACATTAAGTTTCTCTCTCAACTGATTGTGATTGTGAAGAATGGCATTGTATCAAGCTGTTTTACTCAGTAATGATTAGTAAAACGCTATAAGCTGTTTGATACGATGTTTCTTACACAGCTGCCGGCGCGACTCAATTTATCACCCTCTATTCTTTAAACCTTGAACTGCGTGGTTGATCACTTTAAAATGTAGTAGCTTAGTTCTAGGAAAAGTGCAGTACTGTAGATATTTTTTCTGAGGGGTAATTGGTGAAATTGTGTCCCTTGTAAATTGAACATTTACAAACTGAAAAAGAGAAAAAGTCATACTGTATACATATTGTATTGCTGTTTCCTCCTTTTTGTAAAATAATAGTTCTTTAGTGTTAAAGGGCTTATAAAAGCATGGTGTGCAACTGTGGATATCGTCAGCTGTTTTATTCTGAAAAGCCTATGTAGTTGTGTTCATGATTATGCCCCCAAACATCCACTTTAATACATCTATAAATAGCTGCTCATACATTATGTACACCGATTAACCAGAGCTGAAAAACCGTCCAGGAGCTTTTTAATTTTTGTGATTTTTTTTTATTTTTTTTTTTTTTTTTTTAGATGCTCTAAATAAGTAATTTTGATGTCATTTCCTGATTTAAACCAAGATATTTTTCTGACTTTGTAGGCATAATTTTAAGATTCTAGTTCACATGCTGGTGAATTGGTAATCATTTCCATTTAGGAGTTTGTTCAACTACATTGATTTTGAGCTTATGTAAGCCCTTTAATATTTTCCTCTTTGTTGATGCTGAATAAACGTTTTGAAAGAAAACACTTGTGTTTGAGCGAATACTTATGGACTCATAAAAAAGACTTATAATTTAAACTAACAATCCCAAATGAAAAAGCCGGATATGTTTGGATTATTACGTCACGACAGTCCAGCCTGTAAGGAATTAAACTACAATGGATCTCATTTTAACTAAGCGAAAAACAAAATAAAACATATGTTCTTGCATAAAATCCAATGTGGTAGCAAGATGGCATTACAGAAAATACTTACAAACAGTGCAAACAGCAAATGGCTGTTTTTTGACCTTCTAGATGACCTTGGTAATCTGATAAGAATGGTTTCCTATTTGTATTTGAACGCCATGTGATGCATTTTTGTGGGAAATCTCTCTGACTGAGATTTAGAGGATTTAGCGATAGCGACATCGCCGCTCTTGAAACTCTATCCACTCTGTTTGTTCATATAATTCAATGTGAAGCGAAACGCTGATCACGTCAAGCATCATCAGTAAACACACATTAACTTTCAGAGTGTTTACCCTGACAGAAACGGCTCGTAGCGCCGCATGAAAGCCTCCTTGACCTCCTCTAGGCCTTGTTCAGTTCGGTACGGGGTGGGGTAGGGGGTTGGGGGGGATGGGGTGGCGGGGGGTGGAATGGGGGGGGGATTTTCTCTCTCTTCTTGTTTTGCTCTTTCTGTTCTCCTCCGGTCATGTGACCCTCTCTCAGTCGTTTAAAGAGCCTGCCTTTGCCCCGTCCATTAAAGAGACTCTAAATGACCCCCAGCTGACCTCCGCAGAGAGAGGATGGCAGTAGCTGTTTAAAAAGACCTCCATCCCACAAGGTAAACAACCTGACCCAGTTTAACCTCTCCCCTAACGTAGTTGCTCATAAACCCTCTCTAAACTTAAATGTAATGTTTTCCTGTCTCTGTTAAGTCCGTAATCTAGACACAAAGCTGGGAATAATTAGATAACCTGTAACAAAAAAACTGTAAAAAAAGTGTGATAAATAGCAGTAATATGTCAACGAAATGTATAGTAAAATAACTTTATCCTAAGACTTTGATAAAATATATCCTCTGTTACAATAATTGAAACATAAAATATTATGTGTCTTGATGCTGCTTTCATATTATTAGTTGTGAAATAAGTTTTGTTGTGAACTTGCATGGTCATCTTGTCGTTTTTATTCCTTTCTAGGCCGATGTCCCAGCTACACCAGGTCATCTGTCCAGTTACCTGACTGGTGCTAAAGGTAAGTCGTTTTCTGCATTTTGTTAGGTGTTTACGATTTTGCATGAAAACATTAAATTATATCTAAATTATGGGATCAAATATGAGTCATAATTATTCTGAGCTTCAAGGCTGGATCTGAAGAACCTTAGGAACTCTTGAAAAGGTTCTTAGAAATCAACTCAAAAATTAAGAATAAGTTTAAAATAAAAATATCAAACTTTTAATTACTAAAAGGTGTTATGTCTGTGATGTTTGTGATGACTTTTGGCATGTAGATACAATAATATAATGAATTTCAGTTGTCAAATAAGTGTTAAAAAGCTTCAAGGGGTAAAGATCTGGCGACCGTTGGGGATTCTTGAAACGAGTCCAAGAAGGACGCAGAAAGATGGACGCTAGCTTAATTTCAGTGTTGTTTTGTAGTTATCTTAACTTATGCAGTACAAGGAATTAATTTGTGGATTCTTCGGATGTAAACGTGATAATATATGGGGCAGAATATATGGGGTTAAATAAGGGTAAAAAAAAATTTTAATGGTTGAAGGTTTGAGCTGACGAATCTTAGGGGTTCCCGAAAAAACTTCCACAAAAGTCTTTGGAAAAATGGGCAATGGCCTAATTTTATGGCTCTATCAGTAAGAAGAGAGTTATGTCCATGACATTTCTGATGATTTTTGCACATTTAAAATATACAGGATCTTTCAAATAAGGATCAAAGAAATTAAAAGCTTGAAGGTTGAATCTGGCAACCTTTCGGTATTCTTCAAAGGTTCCAAGATAAAAATGGGCTCTTGCTTTATTTTAGTGTTCATTCACTCACTCATTCACTTATCAAACTTATCACTTATCACTTTCTGCATTTAAACATGACAATATACTAGAATAAGGGAAAACATCAAAATTGGCAACACTTCTAGATTCTTGAAATGAATGCCATTGATTGAAATCAATGTAAATTAAATTCTTTCAGTTATTAAAAGACTCATGCTATGTTTCTGGTGTCTGATGATTTTATATTTGTAAACATAATGAACAGAAAATCCAGTAAGGGTCCAGTGTGGGTCAAAAATATTTTTGAGTTTGGCTGAGATTGGCTACTGATTTCTTCAAAAGGTTTCATGACGTCCACAGAAAAATGCAGCCGAACTCAAGTTCATGCACTTAATTAAAAGATATATGATCATATGTATTGATCTAAACTATACCATACAAGCAGTTATATATAACAACGGGGTTAAAGGTTTAGGGCGAGGGTTACCCCTTCATCTGGAAGAAATCCTCTCAGATGACGGGCTGACCCTTTTGAGGGAATTCACAAATGATGGTCTAACCTGTTTGGGTGTCGATTTAAAAACCCTTAGGAAGTACAAAAATGAAATATTCTACGGGAGGACACAGCGTTATCATGGCATATCAAATATTAATGTGACTTTAAGGCAACTTGATGTTCTCTTGATGGATGTTTAATGTTGAAAATATCTTTCTGGAGCTTGTGAAATCCTTCAGAATCGCCCCCCATTTTGGAGGCTCGACCCCTCAAGCTTTCCTGTTATACCCTCCCACGATCCCCTCAAGGGGATTCGTGTCCCGCCGGACTCTCTGCCTCGCTTTGTACCTCTACAAATTTTGTATAAGAGCGCTCTCTTGTCATATGAACCACAACGAGGTCCTTGTTGCTACAGTTTGAAAATGACACCCCGCGCTTGTATTAAGTGGAGACATGTAACGCCTGATTGCGTTAGCCCCCAAAAAAAAGAACCTTGAAGTGCAGCTGAGAGAATGTGACAAAGGACTAAATTTCCCTCATTGCTTTGCTTCTTTTTTTTTTTCGTCTTTGCCGAAGCTCATATTGTTCTTCTTTCTCTTCTGTCCTTTCTCAATAGACTTGACGAACCATACACGAGCTTCCCTCCAAACGTTGAAGTCCGCACAATGTCAAACAGAATCCTGTAAAGGCCGTCATCCAGTTTCACAAGGGATACCCCCTCCCCCTCCTCCTCCCCCCCGCCCCGTCTCCGTCAAACAGTGGACTTTCAAATTTTCACAGTCTAGACTGAGGTGAACCCTGCGGGGGACGACATGTGGATGGACCTGTTGAGATGGATGGGGGGGGGTGGGGGTGGTGAGATGGACTATAAGTGCATAAATACACAATCGCATTCCAGGAGAAAGGGAGTGAGAGAGGAAACCCGTGAGGTAAATGGAGTTCCTCATCCTCTGGGACGATCTGTCGGAGAATATTTATCTCAGAGCTTCACTGGCTCTGTATACATTTTACATAAACACAGGAGCTGCTCTGAACTGACTGTGAACCTGCCTCATGTCTTTTCTTGATTCACTTGTTAGAGGGAATGTGTCTACCTCTTACATTAGGCATTAACCGTCGCCTACGAGGGAGGGTGAGTAAATAAATAATGCAGTAAGAGAATGACATCGTATTTCTAGCAGAGACACTTCTAAAGTCATATTGTTGTGCTCATTAACCTATATCCTATTGACTCCAATGAATACATAATTCACCGAGTGCCTTATTCTTGCATTGTTATGACAGTTTTGGATGTTTAGTTGCCATTGCTCAATGTTTTTTCCTTCTTCCTTCATTTATGCTGCTTTTTTGGTTTCCTGTGTGCATTACCATGGTGCTGGAAAGCACCACTCTGCCACAGACCAGAGGAAGTCTTTTCCAGATGTATTGTTTAATCAGAATCGACTTCAGTGGATATTACAATTCCAAAATA